ATTTTATGACCTCTGGCCTTAAAGGTTTGTTTTTTGTTTTTGTTTTTTTAAACTGTTTTACTTTATTTAAATGAGCCAAAATATCATTATTTTACTTACATTTGTTGATATTTTAATGATAAAATATGTATATTAAGGACTGAAATATGGTACATTTTCCCTGTTTTTTATTCTTTTGTTAAATTACACATAAAAATCAGTAAAATTGGAGGAAAAAATTATAAATATTAGATGTTAACCATTAAAATTGTAGTTTTTTTAAAAGTTATGTTACAGATTTTCCCCGTTTTGTTAAAATGCAGATGATACCCAGTAAAATCACAGCGGGAAAAAAAAATCATTTATTTACAAGTTAACTGTCTTTTTTTCTTTTTCTTTAAAGGCCAAAACTATCAATAACATCCACATTAAAAAACGATGTCATATTGACCACATGACCGCACTATAGTTTACTTTGTTTAAATCAGCAAAAAACATCATTATTTTACATAAATTTGCTTTTATTTTAAGGAAAAACTTTTATAAAAACTGTATTCTTTCATTTTCCGGTTTTTTAAATTACAAGTTAAAAAAAAGTAAAATTGCAGGAAAACGCATTAAATTACATGTCAAGCAGTTATTAAAAGTTATTTTAGAGATTTTTCCTTTTTTGTTAAATTGCAGATAATATCCGGTGAAATCACAGAAAAAAGTTTTAATTAACATGTTGACTAAAAAACAAAACAGAACAAAACAGTAAATAGCATCCACATCATAAATCTGTATTTTTACCATCAGGAATTTGTTCTTTTCCAACATGTGACCATAAAAAAACATTATTTTACAGATATTTCCTGATGTTTTCTAAGCTTAGGAACAACTATTGTGCTCTACATACACAAAGCTTCCAGATGATTGAAGAAGAGTTTATAATAATGAACTGAGCAGTGACTCACTGTGAGCGGTTTGGCGACCGGAGGACTTTCCCTCAGCGTTCTGGCTCCTTCTTTCGGAGGACTGTGAGGCATGTTCAGCATCCAGGCCCAAATCCGAGCCTCGGTCCAGGAGAAGCACAAATACAAGCAGAGCAGCTGCAGGTTTCCAGACATCTCTGCAAAACTTTGCTCAAAAAAATTAGATGCGAAAAGAAAGTCCGGAGCTTAGAGGTCCTGCTGGATGCGTGGAAACGTCTGCAGATGCAGCGACGGTGGCTGGAAGCTGCTCCAGGGGGTTTTATGGGCCGGCCGGCTCGGCCTCCCCCCACAGGGCTGTTTGTCCAAGCAACAAGGGTGGGAGGAGACAATTAGTTGTTAATGGATTAACTAAATTGCCCGGGTCACCCCCTGCGGCCAGAAAATAGTGGCAAAGTGACCAGTCGAGGAGCGAGGAGAAAGGCCGGGACGGGCAGCAGCTCCGGGTCGGTGGTCTCGGCCAGACAAACAAACGAGGACGACCAAAGCCAACAAATGCTCGACACGTTTGGCTGCTCGCTGACTGACGGGTGAAAACCGCAGCAGGTCCGGGCCTCGGCTGGGCCCGGCCGTCCTGCAGACCCCTCGCTGGGAGCAATTTGCAGCGTTGCACCCTGCAGACGACCCCATGATCTCATTAAATGTAATTACCATCAGACATTAGTCCTCGTGGGGAGCAGAGAGGAGGAGAGGCTCCAGGGAAAGTCAAACATTCAGGGTTTCTCTCTGGGATCTGGTCACCGGCTACAATGACAAGAGAACTTTTAACTGTTCAATGAACCAACAGCTGCTGTGATTGTTGCTTTTAGTGACTCTTTAGGAAGAGAAAGTCAAAATTATTTGACTCAAGCTCCTTCAATTTTGAATATTCTTTATTCCTCTACACTGTAAAATATTTTTACTGTTATTTTATAATGTTTTCCTGTTTTGAGAAATTACAGACAATAACAAATAAAATCTAAATTCGAAGAAAATGCTTGAATTTACTGATTAGCCATTAAAAAAAGGCCAAACCTGTCAATAACATCCACATCAAAAATCTGTATTTTTACAAATATTAATGTGTCTATTTACATTTTTCTACGCATAATTACAATTTTAAAGTCATATTTATTAATGATTAAAAAATTATAACTAATAATTTTAACTGTTTTATTAAATATCAGATAATATCTAGAATAAAATGACTGTTTTACTGGGAAAATATCATTATTTATTATTTATTTTTTATTTTTTTCTCCTGTTTTTTTTTAAATTACAGATAATCTGTTCTTTTGCAATACGTGGCCATTAAATCACGCTGTTTTCTTTGTATTTAAATCAGCCAAAAATGCCGTTATTTTACAGATATGAGCTGCTGCTTTCACTGTATGTAGAGTTTCTGAACATTACAGTTTCTCCAGTTCTCTGATGCTTTTTAAAGTCCAGGCTGAACTCCATCACAGGATATTTTTATTTCGCTGTTGGTAAAGAAGTGGATAGATTATCATCACACGTGGACAGAGTTTACACTGTTTAGGAACTCGTGAGTAAAGTCGGCTGCTCGTTATCGGCTGTGGTGAGCGAAGCTGTGATTGATAGTAAAGTGATCCAAGTCTGCTGCGATGTGAGCATCAAACACTCCATTTCCTGCCTTCTGGTGAATTTTTACGCACCACTTTGTTCCTTTTTTGCATTAGTTTGTCGAGCACCAGGTGTGAGATTTCAATATAATGGAATATATAATATGCAGCAAGGCTCCCAGGCATCCTGTGCTGCTTTCTTATATTCACTCTCCTCCAGATGTCATTTAATGTGACTCCTGCTGAGTCCATGGACAACATCTACGCTGGATAAACTCTTCTCTCCTCTTTTAAATGTGCACGTGGCACCTCTAAACCATAAATAAATGGATGTATGTGATTTGTAAACCCTCTACGTTAGCTGCTACACATGTATTGCTGCTAACGCTGACAGAAAACACGATTACAGCACAACTTTGGCCTTAACTGATTAAAACATCGATCAAATCTATGTCCTGTGTTTCCCCCTAAATGCTCGCAGCGCCGGTAACTGCTCAATACGCACCAACCTGAATAATTAAACCGCTCGGATAGCTGCATAAACACCACACTATACTTACTCACAGATTGCTAATTGCTGCTATTGTGCCTCCTAACTGATCCCCAATCACGTCATTAGTGTGCTGTTGTGATAAGAGCTTAACTACGTGGAGCAGAGATAGAGGCAGATACCTGCAGATATCTACGTATCCGATCTGTGCTGCTGTCTGCCACTAACAGCATGTAAATGACCCACAATTACTCTGGCATCTCAGCCCAGCGCTCACACAACAGCCACTGTTTGGTTGGATTCGTTTATCCTGCAGCGAGACTCCAACGTCTCCGGCGTGATCACGACAAACGCTAACACTGAAATGTAAGCAACGAATCACCTGATAAACTCTGCAGCAGCTCACCCGTCTGAGGTGAAAGTAAACAGCGTGACCTCATGTCAGATCCTGATCCGTCCATCATCATGAAGTCATGAAGCTTCTGCTGTGGTGGGTCAATACGTGCAGCTCAGATGGATCCTGATGCTGTTTATTTAACCTAGAGGAGATGTTCCTGAACAACCAGAAGCAACATACTTCAGCTGCTGTTGATGTCTTGATTAAGCCTGGATCACATTAATCAGATACGTGCAGCTCAGATGGGACCTGATGCTGTTTATTAAACTTAGAGGAGATATTCCTGAACAACACACTGAATATCATCACTGTTGTATTCAAACCTGGATCACATGTATGAGACCTGTTCTCTCTCTATCTCAGTGAAGTTTTTCTGACATTTCAGTTTGTAATAGATGTGAAATAATCGAGCAAAGGGAACGAGAAAGGCCAGTAAACTGAGTCTTTTGTGATGGTTTCGGACCGATACCGGTGCTGAAACCTTCCCCTCATCCCTCCACTAACCCTAAAACACACCACACCGCTGGTTCACGTTTGTCCTCGGCTCAGACTTGTGTTTGAAGTGAACGTTTATGAGGTTCGAGCTGGTGAGACGGTTTTACAGAACGGCGACGCATTCGGCTTCCATCAGATTAACAGAAAGCAGCGCCGGTCTGAAGGGGGCCAGACCCAGAATAATTGGGAGTAATCTTCATGTTCTTAGTGGGAGACAGCGCTGATCGGATACGCAGATACCCGCAGGTACTTAAGTCCTTATCAAAACGGGCTAACGCAGCCTAATGACGGTCAGTTAGTCGGCACAATGGCAGCAATTAGCGACATGTAAATAAGTGCTGTGTCACTGTTTGTGCTGCGGTTTAAGCATGAACATGCATTTAGGTCACATATATGTTGCCTGAGAGACACAGATCTATGAGTTTCAGTGTTCATCATATATTTTGTTAAACAGACAACTGAACCGAATAAAGCTTTTTCCCTTCAGATCACCAGAATCGTGTTTTGCAGGGTGACAACAACTCAAGCTTCTTCACTCCCGTCCCTTATCGCATTCTTACAAACGTGTATTTTCGTTCTACATTCGTGTTAACCCCCTCCTCCCCGTCGTTTACCCAAAGCCGACAGCAGATAAGTGTCTCCCAACATGCTCTGCCGGTGTTAATGACTCTGCTAATGCCGCTCGTAATGAATGTGCTCGCTGTCGACGTGGCCGCTGGTCTAAAGACAAACAAACACAACGGGCAGGGTGATGTCTGTCCATTGTAATGGACCCGGACCCCCTGCAGGGAGATGTGAATGGTTTGGTCCGCCTTCCCATCACCCAGAAAACATGAGTTTGTAATGAGTAGTGAAGGAGAATAAACTTCAGGGTTTATGATGCAGTCTGATTATCACTGAATAAACAGGTGCTGCCGTGTCAGCAGATAGTCGGGGTGACGAATAATTACAGACGGAGAGGGTGAAGGGATTACAGGCAGTGTTGTGTTAATTGTGTTATCTGCTATGTGAATGCACAGTAGGAACAGTGAGTGGATGCTGTAAGGCTGGAGTCTGGGTTGTCAGAGGTGGTCCAACAAAACGCTGATGTAACACGGATTATATCTTCTATTATAAACAAAAGGAGTCTGACAGAACCGAGGACCAAACATCAGCTTTAAATGAAAGCTTCCTGACGTGTTCGTAGCCCCACCGATCGAGGCAGACGCAGCCACGTTTTCATGTGACCGTCAAGAGGTTTAAAGCTAATTTGTAAAACGTGGATTAGTTCCCGTGAACTGTTCTGGAGCCAGACGGCGGCGCTATTGGCTACGTTGGACAAAACTGTGATAAACTGCAGACGAAACAAGCGAAACTTTGTCCATCTGCGACACAAAAATGGAGAAAAGCGTTGAGGAACAGCTCCGGATGAGGAAGGCTGTGATTGTGTTTTCATGTTAGCTGGTATTGGCTTCATGATGTTTGGAGATGAAGGCAACAAAACAAACAGCTGATCCGTCTCGTGAGGTGAACGTTTGCTGCATCCGAGCTTATTCAGAAAAGTTCCTGGAAGTGTTTCCTCTTCCACGAACAAGAAGACCAAAAAAAACTCATCAAGCGAGCGTGAAAGCTTCTGCAAAGACTCTAGTTTTTCTGTTTTCCTTCACTGTTTTCAAAAAAGCGCATAAAAATACGTAACAGAAACACAACTACAGTCTCAGGTAAATTTGATTGTTTTTAAAATTTCTACTTCTTTTTGTAACTAAATAAAATCACAACTTTAATGCTTCCAACCTTTCCAACTTCAACAACAAACTGAAAATTTATTATTCAGCTCGTTTTGTGGCACTAATCCATTTAATCTGCTAAATGAAACCGAATTTTAGCCGCAAACTCCATCTTTTGTTTCTGTGACGTCTTTGGTACGGTCCTGCTGTCTCCCTGATAAAGTCGCCTGCTCTGATCTGCTGCTCACGACGTCTGGAGGAGGATTTATCGTACATCTGCGAGCGTCGCTGCGTCCATGTGCTCCGCAGCTTTCGGTCTAAATTGAAGCTACGTGTTGAAACGAGGTGCGAGAAATGCCTCAGAGCTACATCTCAGGGTTTGTGAGCAGACATTCCTCGTCTTCCTCAGACGTTGCAGAGCTCTTAAATAATCCTCGTGAAGTGAAGTGAGCAGTGAAATGAAGTAAACGGTAACAGAAACAACAGACTCACACTGTAAGAATCTGACTTACTGTGCTTCATAGTAAGGTCAGGTTTGTGTTTAACCTTATGAATATAGCAGACATTTCTAAACACTGAAGGGACCTAAAATGAAGCTGAGCCAATCGTACAAACCTGTTATGATAACTTTCTTTCTATTAAACATTCACACAAGCTGTTCCACTCACTCCTTCCTGCAGCTAAGCGATGCCGTCAAAGTGACTCTGCTTGTGTCGTAATGTGACGCCGATAAACCGTCAACACCTGAAGAAATATTACAGTTTTTATGGGGTTGTTATTTAACGCAACAAAACTTTTAATAGATGTATTTAAAACTCATGAAACCGTGTTGATATATACGATAACAATAATGTTTAGTGACTTAAAACCATTGTTATGGTTCCATTAAATGATAAGAAATAGTTTGTTTTCATTTGTTTTTTTTTCGACTTGAGCCCCACATGGCGAGGAGTAAGAATGAGCTTTTAATAGGTAGAAGCTACAGACAGAACCAGACCTGCCGTCACTCGTCCAACACGGAGAAGAAACTTCACTCTCGAAAGACTTGTGATTGTAATGAGTAGTCGTTAATTGATTATTTGTTGTTAACCAGTTAAAAATATACTGACTGATAAGGCAGAAATGAGGGAACTGCATGTCTACAAATGTTAAAAAATTTTTAGGTCGCTGTAGTAACTGTTTGTTCCACCAGGTGGCGCCTCCTGAGATGGAGCTGAAGGTGTGATTGCTGACCACCTACAGGAGTTAAAAACAAGCGCACCTTTCTCACCGTGGCAGTTGTGTTGATAATTCTGCAGTGTCAAATTGTAAAAAGGTGTTTGACTTGTCTGTTCAGCTAGCTACCTGAGGCCAATGCTAAGCTAGGATTTCCAAACGCTAACACGTCAACTGAGCGTCTGTCAGCAGAGACGCCGCTAACGTTCAGGAGCAGCAGGACTGATTAGAGGATCAGTGCCAATCTCATGTCACAAATATGCATCAGGAGCAAGAAGCTCGTTAGCTTAGCTTAGCATAAAGACTGAAAAGAGGCCTGGCTCTGTTCAAACGCAGAACTTGTGGTGTAAAAACGACAATTTACAATTTTGTAGGAGGTAATTCACAAGCAGCAGAGACTACACGAAGTTACTGCCATGATTCAGGAAATAGTCCAACGAACATAAGATTTTATTTTAAATTTGGACATTTTCTTTTTACATTCATAGTAGATATGTCTGTATTTAAGTAAGTCCTCCTTTCATGTTTTTATTGAGTTTGACAAAATCCCTGCATCTCCTCTGAAATCTATCCTAACAAATAAATGCTAAATTGCTTGTTCTATACTTAAGGTATCTTTTCTGTCGGGACTCAAATAAGTCAAACTTTTCCTTCGAAGCAGTTAAAACAATCTGAATATTCGGCGACTCTCTCATTCACCTGAACAATACTTCTCTCTGAAAGCGCATCATTACAAGTGCATAAAGCAGAAAAGCTAACCGAACCTCCAGACTCACGGTGAATCGTACGACTCTCGTCCTTCTGCTGTCGTGCATTGTCACTATAAACAAACCGACTCCATCAGCCTGGAATGATGCCGTAACGTCCCGTCATTAACTGTACCGAGTGAGGAATCTTTACTGCTGACGAGACAGGTGTTGATAAAGTTAATGACAGCTACACTCAGCGTCTTTGTAAATGAGATGTCCTGCCAAAAACCCTTCGGTGTTTTCTTTTAAAAAAATAAACAAATAAATAAAAAACGCTGCTTGAAAAGGCTAAAAACAGTGATAAAAGTAAAGAGGTGACACAGCAAACGTCCTGAAATGACTCATTTTGGGTTGTAAAATGTGTTTTGGGCTCCAATATTCCCCAGAAAACCACAACATGTACTGTAATGTCTTGTCAGCTGATAATCCACCTCGCTGGCTCATGACCAACCCAACGTTTACGGTTATTCATGCAGCCATGACGAGGACTTCTTGTGCTGAAATCAGCAACAACAATCCCTGCTTTGGGTCCGTACGACAAAATAAACACGTCACCGTTAAAAATAGCCTCCAATAAGCCGGGTCTGTGTTTTATTTTCGGTGTCAGATGTTTGAAATGCGTTTCTGGTAAGGTTTAAATAATGTCCTCTGTAACCTGTTTCCAATTGGAACAAGACAGCCGAGTGTGACTCCCTCCGTAATGGGAAACAGCTGAGTGTCGTCTTTGTGCCAGCGGCTTCTAACGAAAGGAGACGAGGGCAACGGGAGAATGTGGAACAGAGGTCAGTGGTGGCCAACAGTCACATCTGTCGCCATTATTGCTTTCAAACCGCAACAGATATCCTGTAAGGATCCATGACAAAGACAGGAAAACAAAGCGGAACACAGGCTTTATGGGGATGAGTCGCTTCTCTGCTCGCGTTCTCGTCTCCAGCTTCGTTGGAAGTGGAGAATCCCCCGATACGGGACGTTCTGAGGCCTTCATCAACACCATCTAAACACATTTTCCTACTTCCAGTGCCAAAGATGAATCAACGGCGACAGCTCTGGTTGTCAAGCTTATTGTCGCTCTTGTTGTTGTTTTCCAGAAACACCAGGGGCCTGCTGGGTGACGAACTGAAGGAAAACCCAACGTGAAGTGTTTTCAGCGCCGCTTGGCTGAAAACTCAAGCGTCTTGAACTCTCGGCGATGGAAGGAACGCGGCTCTTCCAACAGATTTTCCCCTCATCTGGTGGCGAGCTGTCTCCGATGCTTTACTCCAAACGGATTAAGATCTGGAGACGGAGGATGTTCCTCTGCGCTAATGTTTCTGCTTCATGTCCGTGAAGCCGTATAATATACAGGCTATGAACTCTGGCGATCCGGCAGAATGGAAACTTCACCGTCGTCAGTTCTT